CAGGCGGTGTGGCCCCCGGGACGCCCGCTCCTCCGGGTGGCTACGCTTCTCCCATCACCTTTTCTCTTGGATGCCTTCGAGGTGCGGCTGTGGGGCAGGTGCCCGAGTGAGTCCCTTGAGGAGGGCCAGGCAGTGACTTTGAGCAGCAGGTGTGTGAGGTCCAGACCAGTGATGGCGAACCTATGACACGCATGGCAGAGGTGACACGTGAACTCATTTTTTTGGTTGATTTTTCTTTGTTAAATGGCATTTAAATATATCAAATAAATACCAAAAATATAAGTCTTTGTTTTACTATGGTTGCAAAGATCAAAACATGTCTCTATGTGACACGGCACCAGAGTTAAGTTAGGGTTTTTCAAAATGCTGACACGCCGAGCTCAAAGGTTCGCCATCGCTGGTCTAGACTGTCTGGCCGTGACCCTGACCTTTGAGGTCCAGGTTTGGCCCGGCGGCCTTGCCAATCCCAGATTTCTCTTCGGTTTCCCAGGCGCACCTGGAAGGGGCGGGGCCTCCCTGCTGCCAGGTGGAGCTGGCTGGGCTCCTGCAGCGGCCTGACCTTTGACCTGTGGGTGATGTTTGGTCTGTGGGCTCCGCCTGCCCCTTTCTCGGGTGTGGGACGGGAAAACGCCAGGCTGTGGAGCACAGAAAAGCACTCGTTAGGTGTCTTGATACGTCACAGCAGGAAACACGATTCCCAGCCTTTCCGAAACCCATCAGGTTTCGTTCATTTTCGTATTTGAAACCTCAGTTTTCAAACCATTACAGACAGTCCCCACCTGTCCGAGCTTCCCCTCGATCTCAGCCCGGGTCTGACGGGAATGTTTCGGGAATGTTTCTCGGTGGCCTGTCCGCCTCGGGGGCGTCCATCGTGGGCCTGCCCAGCTTTCGTGCCCAGCGGCTCTGCGTCCTGCGGTCCACAGCCTTCCTTCCCAGGAGTCAGTGCGAGGGCAGGACGCCACCCCCCCCACCCGTGCCCCCCCCCCCCAGAAGGCTGTCCACTGCTCAGAGGTGTGGGTGGTGCTGACTCCCGGGCGGGCTCTGCCCCAGGCCCCAGGCTCTCCCGGGGAGGGCACTGGTCTGACCTCCCGGCCTGTGTTTGAGACCCTTGAGGCCGAAAAGCAGGGAGAAGGCGCCAGCCATTCCGGTGGTGGTGGCCGGTCAGCGCCCCTGCTGTATGGTGGGGACTCGCAGGTGCAGCCCCGGGGGAGGAGGGAGGGCATCCATCTGCCTCAGGCTTGTGGCCAGTGCATCTGATCTGCACCTGGAGGGCGCTGCTCTCCGCGATGCTCTGTGCCCCCCGCCCTGCCGCTCCCCTAGGTCCAGCCCCCCACACATACACACCTCGGAGCTGGGCCTGCCTCTGGCAGCCCTTCCCCGCCCCGCCCCGGCCTCCCTGCCTCCCGCCCTCGCTCCTCCTCTTGCTGGTCAGCATCTACCTCCTCGTGACCCTGCACATGTCAGCTCCTTTCCATGAAAGTAACAACCGATTCCCTTGAAGGGTCATCTTTGTTCTCCCCGCACCTCCCGCTGCACCTCTGGCCCCGCCCACCAGGTGAGACTGGTGTGGGCACCGGCTCCCTGCAGGGCCGCCTTCCTCAAGCCTCAGTGACCGTGGCCGTCCACCTACTGACCTTCTCCCTGTGAGCAAGGGCCCCTCCTGAGCCTCCCCATGGTTCCCCTTCTCTTCCCTGGGGCCTGGCCTCACCACCCTCTTTCCCCTCAGACTTGGGGGCAGCGGTGGGACTCGGTCGGTCGGGAGGGGCTTTCGCTGGTGGTGCGGGTGCCCGGGCACCGTCCCCAGGGCTGGGTTCCCAGGAGCGCTGACCCTTCAGCCCTTCCCCGGACGATGCCCAGGCAGGTGGCCCTCCGACCACATTTTGAGAAACTCGCCAATGTTACCTTAGGACTCCTGGCTCCTCCCTAAGTCTGTGCACCCCCCCCGCCGTGCGCCCTTCACGGGGGCCTTTCTAGCTCTACCTGAGCCCGGGGACAGCCTCCGACAACACCCAGTTCCCCCCAGGCCCCGTCCACCCTGCCCCTTTCTTGCCATGTGACCACTGGCCGTGCCCCCGCGGCCCCGTCCTGGTTGGCTTCCAGAGGCACCTCTTCCCGCCCAGGGTGCCCAGAGGCGCAGGCCAGCACCCAGCTCAGCCCCCGCGCCTGCCTGGTGTCCCCGGGCCCCGTGTTCGCCCACTTGGTACAGCCCTGCCCATGCCCGCTGCAGCCGCGCCTTCCTCAGCCCCCATGGGCCCCGCCTCGATGGGCACCTCCCCTCCCGATGGCTCCCCTTGACCAGAGCCCACGCTGTACTCCGCCCAGCGCTGCCCCGAAGCAGCCCGCTTCCCAGGACCCGCCGCCCCGCCCGCCTCCGCACCTGCAGCGCCAGCTGATGTCACTGCCGCCGACTGTATGCGTCTCACTCCCTCTAGACTGTGAGCTCCTCGCGGGGCAGGGACGTCTGTGTCGCTCTGTATCCCGGCACCTGGCACAGTGCCTTGCACTTAGGTGCCCAATAAACGTCTGCTCCACTGAGGCCAGGCCCCAGACTTCTTTTTTTTATTGTTTAATGTGTTTTTATTGATTTCAGAGAGGAAGGGAGAGGGAGAGAAACATCCATGAGGAGAGAGAATCATGGATCGGCTGCCTCCTGCCCACACCCCACTGGGATTGAGCCCACAACCCAGGCCTGTGCCCTGACCGGAATCGAACCCGGGACCCTTCAGTTCACAGGCTGATGCTCTACCCACTGAACACACCAGCCAGGGCAGGCGGCCCAGGATTCTAAGTTCCCTGCCCTCCACCTCCCTCAGTCAGGAGTGGGGTCCACCCTGTCCAGGCAGGAGAAATGGGGGGGCACCTCCTGTCGGAAAGACCCCGAGGGCAGTGCAGACACCCCTGCCACCCCCGACCCCGTCAGACAGCGTCAGAGCCCCACAGCCTCAAACCAGGCTTCCCTTCCCCTGGGCGCTCCCCGCCCTGAGCCTGAGCCTGGGGGCTCAAGTTTCAATCCTCTGACCTCCAGGATCTGGGGCAGTCACTGGGGAAACTGAGTCAGGACAAGCTGGGGTTTGCCCAGAAATGGGGCAGAAGGGCCCACAGCCAGCGCTGGAGCCGGACGCCCAGGGGCCCTGGAGTCAGCTCCTCCCGCAGGACTCCCAGCCCAGCCCAGGGCCTCGGGGGTCCTTCCCACCCCAAGTCCCCGGGAGCAACAGTGCAGGCCGCACAGCCTGCAACCCAGCCCGGGGCCAGGCCTGGGCAGGCCCTGGAGGAGGAAGAAGAGGGGGGGGGGAGCTCCCCTGAGAAGAATGTGCTTGTCTGCCGGCCTGTCTGGCTCTGGGCTCAGGCTAGGGTTTCAGCCACCAAAAAAGGCCGCGGGAAGGAGAGGGCCCTGCAGGCCGGGAGCTGCGGACGCTGCTTTGCTCAAACTAGTGTCCCCGAGGCCAGCAGGTCCCTGTGCCCTGGACAGTCCCTCGGAGATGGGGGAGGGGCACCTGTGCTCACCCCCATTCTGAGGGGGAGGCCCCGGGGCGCTCCTGGTGGCCTGTGCCCTGGATGTGGTGTTGCATCCCGCCTAGCAGGGCGG